CTCGCACGAAAAAGATCACTCACTTCTCAGTGGCCCTAACTTCAGAGTAGAGGATTTTATTTGTAACCCTCACCTAGGTCTGCAGGAATGGGGTCTCGATATTAATGGAAATTCTCAACAGGGACGTTAAACAACAACAAACAAACACAGAAAAAAATTTGCGATCTCAACCGAACATTGCTGTTTTAACATAATAACACAGATAACATTTAGCTTCATTAGAATTAGACTGATAACGAAAGACGTTTAGAATATTAATAGAAATCAAATGATGGAGAAAGTAAAGGTTTCACATATTAGTCCATGAGCCACTCTGGGTGGTCAGTACCATTTTGGGTGAATAAACTTTATAGTGATATTTGGTAAGGTATGCCCCTAACTAGTGAGAAAATGTATGATAGCATCAAATCTGTTGTGGCTTCAATGCTGGAGACGCAGTTATTGCCCTTTATGTGCTCAAATTTCGTATTTTGAGCTAAATATATTTGCAACCTACAAAGTATTTCTCACACAGTTGCCAACCGTGATAGAAAGTTCTACCAGAATTACTGCGAGATATGATGAACATATTTAAAGAGCATTAACTGAATTACTAGCCGTGATTCTAAAATACATTGTATATTATTACCACCTTTATTAAACAACTACATGTACATGTACCTCAAAAATTTGTATAAATAAAAAGATAACTACCAATCCAGATGATGGAGTTTTTCGACTAGAGCAACACCCCCTTCTTTGTAAATCTCAGCTGGGATGGAGTATGGGGCCATCGCCCAGGTGTTTTGCCAGTTGACAACAGACTAATTGTTTTCTGAATCTCATCCAACGCAGGAACGGCATCCAGTTACTGGTTACTAGTAAATGGAACCTGAGCTATCGGTTGATGGCTTTGTCGCTGATGGTAGAAGGGCGGTTCAGAACGCCATTGAAATGTTCCACCCACCTGTCGAGTATCTTTTCTTTATCTGTGATGAGTGTTAACCCGTCATCACTGAGGAGAGAGGATGAGCCTGATGGAGGTGGCGCGTAGACTTCCCCAAGTCCACAGTAAAAGTTCTTCCTAGGCCTGTCATGAGATTCGGCCTAGCGTTGGATCTCGTCAGCTTTGGCATTCATCCAGGAGTCCTGCATATCCCAACGCTTTTGCTGTACTGTGCTGCGAGCGTTCTTTAGAGCGTATTTCTTGGCTGAGGAGGTGGGGTCATCTATATGAGCCTTGTAAGCGCGATGTTTGTCCTCTAGAAGCTACGTGATTTCGGTACGGTTCTCATCAAACCAATCTTTGTTGTTTTTTTTTTTTGGTGGAGGGCCCAAGACACTCGAAAGCTGTATGGTACACTCTATTACGAAGTGAGCTTCCACGCCCTGGTCATCCAGCACGGTGGAGTTCAGGCGTTCTTCCAGGGTGTCAGCTAAGTACTGAGAGGTGGAAGGCAACTTGAGCTTACCAACGTTGGGACGTTTTGAAGCCTAACTCTACTGAGTTTGATCCGGAAGTTGAGAGGTGAAGTTTAGAGACTATAAGACGGTGATCTGTCCAGCACTCCATGCCGCACATGGCCTTGCTGAACAAACGAACTGTCTGTCTGTCTCTCTTCCTGACAATGACGTAGTCCTGATCCTTGTTTCTTCTTGTTCTCTTTATTATTTCGACCGTATGTGTAGGGTACCCATCAGCTGGCAAGGGAAGGATGGAGCAGGCAACGCTTGGGATACCTTTAATAATCCGCTCTTTTTGCCATGGAGGTGAGCAGTGCGTTCCTAAAGAGGGCTGCTCAGTAGCACAGGTGGCTGCCGAACTCCAACGCTGCTCTGATCAGTAAGAGCGACCATATGGTCTGTATCGCCTGTGTGCAGGTCTGCGACTACCAACTTTCAGTGAACCCGCACCTGTCACCTTCGTTGCTCGCCTGTCGCCACGGGGCTTTGGGGTGGATGATAGAAGGGATGGAAGATGATCAATGATGACTTGCGTGATGAGTTTGATTAAAATGAAAAAGGGTTGCTCGTTGCCGACCGCGCTCTCTCGCCCGCAACCATTTATATCCAATGGCAAGACAGATGTCTGGACGTCTGGAGATGAAGACAGATGCAGCGGATAACCAAGACGTGCTTTCTGCCTTTCCTTGCTCAAGCATTCCACAGTGCTTGCTGTGTCCGCCTTCTTCTCCGTTGAACCATGACGGTTTCCACCACAGAGTCCGCCGGTGCACAGTCTTTACATGCGTTATAGGTAGGCAAGCCTTCAATAGACAGGGTTTGAGAACCGTCAGCGCATTGTGTAGGGATTGACCTCCTAGAGGGATCTCCCTTAAGAGTGTACGGGTTCCTTCTACCCGGACTAGTGGAGGGAGGGAAGGGGCGTCAGGCCATTCCAGGTCGAGAGACACAGCCCACTGCCCACAAAACACATATATGATTGTACATATATGTTGCTTAATTTTGATGTCAAAAATATATAATATATTACACGTTTAACTTAGATGAACATACACGTGTCCATTGTCATGATGGTTTAGCATGAGATTAAATAAACAAGCATTCAGCTAAATATCTGCAAGCGTATGTGAGAAATGTGCGGAACCCTGAAAAATTGAAAGGCTTTAATTCCGTAAAAATTCATTGAATCGGATCGATATTCAAACTTGATCTTTAACTCATCCAGATGCAACCACGTACCAAAAATCAGCTCAATATCGGCCAGCGTTTAGAAAAAAAGTGCGGAAATCAAGTGGGACAGACTGACAGACAGACAGACGGGGACAGACAGACAGCTAGACGGACGGATAGAGAGACAGACAGACGGACAGACGCAGAGGAAACCTATAGTCCACTCCGGATTCACCGGTAGGGGACTAACAAGCATTCTGAGAGTATTCATAAGCAATGCATGTCCCCTACCGGATTCCCCTTTTCTCTTTGTGGTGTCATTTTATTAGAGCCTGTGTATGAAAAATTGTTACTTAAATATGAACATTTTAAATATTACTTGAATATGAATGATCTGCCTTACAAAGAAAGACTCGTGACGTCTTTGAATGCCATTTAACACACACAAATGCTTTGATCAGAACATCTTATTTTACATGGTTGAACAACAATTTTATGCCAGAAAAAATCAAACTTGATCTATATTTGTCACTATAAAAGTAATCCAGCAAGTTTCAAATCATAATAATCTCGTTTAGAACATTAATCCAGTAGTGCATCACGACATTAATTTAGTACATCATCAACCCTATTGTGAACCCATAATATTTTTTTTAAAAAAATAAATAGAAATACCACAATTCCTTCAGAAAGCAATGAAGTAGAACAAAATGAAAACTTGATCTATAACTAATCAATTTATAAAAGCTATCCAACAAGAAGTTTCAATTCATGACAATCATGTTTAGAACATAAATTGAGTGCATCACGACATAAATGTAGTGCAACACGAACTCTATATTTAACCAAATTATAGAATTAAAAAAAAATAAAAATGCAATAATTCTTCCAAAAATCAATTAAGCAGAACAAAATGGAAACTTGATCTATTACTAATTCTGGTAAAGTCTCACTCAATATCTGCAAGCATTTAGGAGAAATGTGCGGAAAACCCTGAAAAATTGAATAGGCCGTAATTCCGTAAAAAAAATCATTGAATAAGAAAGATATTTAAACTTGATTTGTAACTCATCAAGATACACCCACGTACCAAAAATTAGCTCAATATCTGCCAGCGTTTAGAAACAAAGTACGGAAAACCAAGACTGACAGACAGACGGCGACAGACAGACAGACAGACGGACGGTAAGCTAGACAGACGGCCGGACGGACGCAGAGGAAACCTATAGTCCCCTCCGGTTTCACCGGTAGGGGACTAATAAAACATTTTACGTAAAGACTGTACAAGAAATCTTACATATTCACATTATCTTTATTAAGTAAATAAAGAATATACACACAGGGTAAATCAAGGGAATTTTCTTTCAATTTTCATTTTTAGGATAGGGAAAAAGATTTACTATTAGATCAAGTTATATATATTTGTTACTGAAATAATGTTTTGAAATGCTAATACGTGATAAAAATTCTTTAAATAAAATGACCATGTAATATGTTTTTGGTGTGAAAATTGTCACAGTTTTCAAAATTGCGTATTCCACTTTTATGATCAAGAATCATATTCCTATATAATTTACACGGCTCATTACAGAGCCAATATTGAATAATTATAACTGACCAGGGTAATAGCATGATCTGCATTCAAAAGAATTTTCAAGATATTATCATCCGAAATAAGATAGAAATTGCGTATTTAAAACCCAACCTTCTTCTTTCAAAGACACAGCTGAGACAACGAACAAGTTGGGTTGGTGTATATAAACAGCTGATACACCATTAAAGCCACAATCAATTGAATACTCTCATACATTTTCTGAAGGTAGAGATGTATGTCCTTCAAAAATTTACTATGAAAATTATTCACCCGAGATGGTACCGATACCGAAAAATTCGTGGCCTGGCTCATGGACTATATAAGAGATTTTGAATTTGTATCGGTTGATTGCCAGTTTCGATATTTTTGAATGAAGATATAATTTAGGAAGGATAAGAAGATAACGAACAGTATTCAATATCAAAGTCCATAAAACGTTACAAAATGAAAGAAGATCAAACGGACCTCTGAAAAATCAGAACTGGGATCAGGTTATATGGAGGAGTGAGCATCCCCTGCTGACCAAATTTTTGGGTATTAAAACAGGAATAATTTTACATAAATGCTTGATCAGCCGCCACTGTAGACTGTAGATATTCTTAGAGAGGTATTACTATCTATCTGACTTATAGTATAGAGGTTAATTGGTTTCATCACATGATCTAGACGGTTTTCAGTTTATCTTATAAATTAACCGTCAATTTATTAAGGTATACCACAGTAAGATAGCTCAGTCTAGAATCACTGGTACATGTACAATGTACGGGGACTTCCGCTTCAATTAATGGTTCTATAAAGCTTATTTCATCCTGATCTGTAGAACGTATTTTGTCATTTTCACATAAATTAATGTCATAACATGAATAATTTTTTATTGTATTTTCCGGTATTTCTTCATAAATTGTGTCCGTATTTTTGGGCTGTGAAATTTGTTGTTCCGGTTGCGGAAATTGTTCATTAAAGTCTTGTAGCTCTAAATTTGTTCTGGGTCTTCCTAGAATTCTGCTGCAATTATTAGTCTTCCTTATAAAAAATACTGATACAGAGATAGAAACTACGAGAATCCCAACAGAAAGTAAAACTATGGACAGCGACAATTCACTTGATATGTAAATATCACTCTCGGGAATTGTTGAAATCGAATGCATTTTGGCTTCCGTTGAGGTTATGTAGGTTAGCATGTCTTGGTTGCGATGATTTCTTTTTTCAGAAAATTTACTTATGATGTTTTGCCAAAATATGGTAGTCGTTGTCTTTATCTCTTGTTCTGGAAAATAGATAAGAAATACAATACTCTTCATAAATGTCCTATTTTAAAATAGCACATTTATTACATAATATGTTTAGTCAAAATATGCAATTCGAATGAAATTAAATGTACCTTGTTGATCTTTACAACCAAAGGCCTAGTGACAATCTTCCACGGAACAAAGACATTTTAATTGACAGTTTTCACCATAATTTGGATATAAACACTTTAATGAGCAAGCAATTCCTCTAAACTCCAGGGTACACTCTATAGAAAAATATGTTATAGACAATTGCTCATCGATGAAAGCATTCTTTTGTCAAATTCTCATCTTATTTTGATTAGAATTAAACTTTTAATCTAAATGTTTTCATAAAACCATAAAACTTTATTACGAGAAATTGCATAGATCTTAATTTACTTGAAACATCAATGCATAAAAAAGGAACTTAAAAACCACTATACAATGTACATACTTATACATTCTCCGACATTTGTATTCCACATAAAGCCATTGCAACATGCTGGGCCATTTGGTCTAAAGTATATAAATTCATTAAAAAACATCTTTTTAAAAAAAAATCCATTCATTATATTTTGTGAAAAAAATTTAAAAAACATTTTAAAAATATACAATTTTACCCTTCATCTTCTGAAAACAAAATTTTTTAGAATTCATGTTTTACCTACCCTTCGCAAAATGTGTATGAGGTGGACAGCCAGAAACATAGGTTAACACAGAAAATTATAAGTAATCTACAGCACATTTTACATGTTTATAAACTAGAGATGCAAAATGAGGCGAGAGCAATTGATAAACTTATCAATTTCCTTTTTGATGCAACAATTAAGCATAATGTATATGGTTCATTTGTTAACAGCCTAAAGGATTTATGTTATTTTATATTTAACATATTAAGAAGAGTTTGGATCAAGAAAGAATTTTTCTAACAAATGGGGATAAGCAAACTAGTATACCTATATATCTACATCTTAAATGAAAAAAAGTCATAAATCAGTTTAATTTTTGGCATGCTCAAGAACCACGTGCGCTGTGTCAATTTTATTCAAAATAGCCACAAAGCATCCTTGGTAAGGGGAATTAAAGTTTATTTAATGAAGGGCCAGACTCTCTTCGAAGGGGCGATAATTATGAATTATTGAAAAATTAATGGCATTTAAAAAATCTTTCTAAATAACCACTGAGCCAGGAAAATTGTAGTTCATGAGAAAGCATCCTCAGATAGTGTACATTCAAGTTTATTCAAATAATGACCTTCGAAGGTAGTGCGAGGCCACAATGAATGGTTAAAATTTTACATAAAAAATGTAGAGAGAAACTCGTTAAAATTCTTTTACTCAAGAACAGCAAAGACATAGTCTTATTTAGATGGAAGCATCTGCAGGTGGTGTGAATTCAAGATTGTTCAAATCATGACCCCAAAATGGTAGGGTTGGGCCAAAATGGTCGCTCAATGTTTAACAAATGAATATATAGGAAAAATCTTCAAAACTTCTCTTCTCTAGAATTAGCCAAGTCTCGATAAGTCACATTTTTATGGAAGCATCTACAGGCGTTGTACATTTAAGTTCAATCAAATCATTTCCTCCGGGGGTTATGCTAGGACTATGGTGAAAATCAAAATTCTACATACGAATATTGTAAACCAACTTTTCTTCGCGTAAAAAAATGTTTGCAAGTTTTGCGACCTTCTTTAATTCACGAATATTTATCGAAGCGATTTTTTTTGCTTTGTTTTTTTGAAGAATGTTTCCTCATTTGCGATTATTTATAGTCACGGATTGATATAAAACTGACGAATCGCGAAAAAAAAAATGACGCGAATAATACTAGGTTAACAGCATATTGAGAAAATCTTCAGAAAACTTCTCAAGAACAGCAAAGCCATGATTGGTCATATGAAAGTATCCCCTTGTGGTGTTGATTCAATTTTCTTTAAATCATTGGTAGGAAAAAGTCAGTCAAAAATATGTACGTAGCGAGTGTAGATTCAATTTCGTTCAATTCATTCTCCCTCTTCCTTTACGGATAGTACGCCGGGTTCCTTTTATATGCATTAAAGCTTTTTAAAACTAAATTGATATTTGGGTCTTTTTTCTAGCCAGTGCTCAGGTGAGCGATGCGGCCCGTAGGGCTATTGTTTTAATCTCATATTATCTTTGTCATGTCATGCACAATAGCCCATGCTTTCAAGAGGATGTGATAATTCATTTGATTTTTTGTTTCAAATTTTTTATACAGATAGATGTTATCTGAAAAAAAAAGTGATTCAAATCAGTGCATTGGTTCATTGGTTCTTTAAATCTGTCTATCATAAGGCGATTCCACAGAGAGGTAGAAACGGACTGAGCTTTGATTTACATAAATGATCAATGACGCAATTTAACGTGCTTAAAACTTTAAAATGAAATTTAATGAACTTGAAAAGGGTTATCTTGCCGTTTTTTTTTCACGAGTGAACACGTCACGGGTATTCCCTTCTACTTGTTATTGATAACGAAACAAAGTAAACACAATATCCCCAGTTACCTTGTAGTATTTCGGAGTTAAAACGCTAAAAATAAGACATTTAAAATATCTGATGCGCTGTAAGGTACCAGGTAATTCAACAGCAATTTTTTTCTGTATATTCTCTCTGTATGATAGACGCTTACAGAGACTTATTTACTTTTCAACACTAAACTGCACTTGAATGTGTTTATTAGGAATTTTAAAGTTATCAGCCTTAATGTGCATTCATTAATTGTTATTAAATCCGGTAAGGTTTCACATAAAGGATCATGCGTTTTATGAAATTTCAAATATGCGCTTTGCCTTGTATGAATCTAAAAGCAGCATGAGCGTTAAACTACTTATTGTTTTTATTTGTCCGCTGGGCATTAAAGAATTCGTACGCGTTTATGTTAAGATTAATTTAAGCAGGTTGGCGTATCATATGATAATTATGGTACTGTAAGTATATTAAGTACGAAAGCCCAGTTAGGCTAATTCCGAGAAAGAAGTAGTTGTCAAAAAATAGTTGTTAAAAAACTTAAGATAATTTTTATTGAACGAAAAAAAATGAACTCAAATTGAAAAGCAATGTGGGTTGACGGGTAAAAGTCGTTCAACGTTTCATTAGGAAAGAAAAGTTCTTGCAGTTTGTTTCTTTGGTCACCTCGATCAAGGAATAATTGTACACTGATCAGGTTTTCTAAGAGTAAATAATTAACCAGTTTGCAGTTGATTAGCTGCAGATCTGTAGCTCTCCGAAAAAATATATACCGGAGAGCTACAGAGCCACCCATTGAAAAAACTGTATATTTATTGCGCACAAAAAAGTGCGCTCGGTTTTCGATTTATTTCTCCATGTTTTTAAAACTCTAATCTCAAAATATTACTAACCGTGTGTTCCTAACATATTCTTTGACTCTTTCCACAACAAAACATTCCTAATAATTGTTGTTAATGGTCCTCCTGGTCCCGATATTGCAATCATCGAACATTTCGCTTATTTATACTGCCATTTTGGTTTCAAAGATAATTCGGTCCAATATGCTTCAATGTGCTTCGTTCAGGTGTCAACTACGAGAGTACTTGACTGAGGAGATAGGAATTTCATGAAATCTTCCATTTTTTGCAATTGAGGTAAGAATTTGGAAGAATTAATCAAGAACCGAGCGCACTGTGCGCAATAAATATACAGTTTTTTCACTGGGTGGCACTGTAGCTCTCCAGTCTATCAATATATATTTTTTCGGAGAGCTACAGATCTGCTGCTAGCAGTTGATGTGATGTATTTCAATGACCAACTTTTCAAAATAGTCCATACCATCATCGACTCATCCAAGAATGTTATATGATCATAAAGGGAAGATAATTTAATTGGGGTGGCAGATTTTGGCTATAAACACTCTATTGGAAATGTTATAAATATTGAAAAAAATTTAATTTGTCATTCACTGGACAGGAAATAAATATTCTGTCACTTTTCTTTATTGGTGAGGAATATATAAGATCTTTCTGTTTGTTTACCTGCTTTTTTCAGCATATATCATATCATAAACTTTTTTCGGACAAAAAAGATTTTTTTAATTTTTGTTTTGGGTTGTTTTTTTTGTTGTAAGTTGTTGTTTTTTTTGTTTTGTTTGTTTGTTTTTTTTTTTTTGGTTTGTTCTGCTGAGGAAAAGAGTGAATGTCATACTATTAGTATTTTTTTTAGCGTAAGTAAATATTTTTTAATGTAGAGTAAAAAAAAGTCAATAAGTGTTACTATTTAATGATTTTGTTGTTTTTAATCTTTCTAGGGCGTTTGTCCTGAAGACTAAGAAAGAAATGAAAAATGTTTCAGTTTCGAGGTACAGGTATTTTCTCATGGATCCTTGTCGTGTATACGTGTATTTCAAAGGTAATGTGGGAGCAGGAAGCATAATTTTGTATGTGATTGCGTCCCGTGAATAGTAATCGATCATTTTCTTCTCTTTTTCAAATTATTAATGTATTTCAAATCATAAATTTAAAAGTTATTGATCCCCCTTTTTTTTACGATTTCTTTATATAAAGGTTTGTAATTCTTCTGCCTTGAAATGCTACGCTTCCCAGCCGACCGAAACTGAGGTCCAGAAATGTCCTTTGACTCCGAAAGAACTTGAAGAAGCTACACAGCGAAAAAACTGTGAGATCATTGCGCTTTCCCAAAATTGTACGAAGCCAGAACATTTTAAGTATCACTGTGTACTCAGTATTAACAGACGATCTTTGATGGAAGTTTGTGCACCATTCATTTTTTCCCAGGGTAAATAAAATAAAAGTAATATTATATAACCCAAAGTAAACTTTTAAATTTAAAAAAAAACATACACTGTAAAAGAACCGAAAGACACCTTATAGCTCAAGCATTTTCAATTAAAATCTTCATCAGATTTTTTTTTAAAATGTATGAAAAACAATACAATAGTTAAAGTGATTAAGCTAAAGGAACAGGTGTCATTTTGTGAAGCTTCTTAAGATTTTAAATGACAAAAGTGCATGTAGTGTAAGTGCTGTGTAGGGAAAGTATAAATGCCATTTCTTTTGTATTGTCAGAATATTGTGTTGGCTTTGACACGCTAGGACTACAAATTCAGCAGATATTTGATAGTTCTTGTACGAAATTTCCAGACCCTTGTCCTATTGGATTTGCTTCTTGGAACTCATCAGCTTGTATGTTGCAATTGTTATATAAAAACAGTGAAGACAGTTTTTCTTTGGTACTCTATGCATTTATACCTTATCTAGATTAATTTTACTAAAAACATTAGCATAAAATATAGGGTGAAAACGAACAGTATTCAAGCTCGAAATTCCATTAAACAATACAAAATTGGAACAGAGAAGGAGAAGGACCAATTCATTATTCTAAGTCTACCTTTGTATTCATGAAGCAAAAGTTGTCCAATATCTAATACGTGTAAAGAAGAAAACACGTGCTGTGGACTTTAACCTGACATTAAGATATATCGTTTTGTCAATTAACAATGGCTTTATTCATTTTGATGTCGATACGATATTTCCCGGTTAGTTTGGGATAAAAGATAACCACAAAATCTGACACATCTTTCTCATATTATTCTACTTGAAAAAGACGTTAATTGTAATATAACAACCAAACTCTAACTATTCAATTGTCAACTTCCATTACTTAAACTGCAAATATACCTTCATCCCCGCCGAAGTTGTGAGGTCCGTGTTTGCTCTGCTCCTATTTTGTATTGTTAAATGGATTTTTCTCCATACGTTTCTTGGAAGAGTGAGCATCCCCTGCCAACCGGTCACACCCATCCTTGTCATTATCGAGAAATAACGGAATTATCCGTTGTCAATTAAGTGTATAGACAATGGACTGACAATAAGAATTAAAAACTTCAGTCAACATTTGACTAAATGATAAATTGTATTTGCTGAAAAATCATTGTATTGACCAAAGAACTTATGGAATAAAGACTTTAAACGAGACAGTTATATTTCTTATTTCATCTACTTGTTAGTCAATAAATTTCCTTGTTTTAGATAAGTAGAGCATGCTCTTTTGTATCGAATGACCTGAGAAATATAAACACCGTATGCAGGTGATGAAGGTATAATGCTGCATAAGTAGTGAAAGCTGACGACAGAAGTTAAATATTCAAACATGAAACATATGTCAGACTCTGTAGTGCCTTTTATCTCAAGCTCACCAGGATATATCGTATCGACAAAGGATTTGAAATTACCATTGCTAATTGACAATACCTCGTCGATATAACTTAGTGTCAAGTGAAAGGCCATAGCAAGTCTTTTTTTCTTTAAACGCATAAAATTTTGCACAAATTCTGCGTCATATGAATACAAAAAAGGTCTACTAATAACTTGCGTAATTAGTACCAATAAAAATTCCGATAGATTGTTTGAAGACCTGGTTTCCAAAAGTAAGAAAGATATTTAAAATCATAAACTCAAGCATTTATTTATGTCAACTTCAGAGTAATTGTGTGTACAATCAGAATAGCTGCTCTCCGCATCGAAAAGTTTCTTAAGTGAGCTATTTGTTTCACAAACAAGTTGCTGAAAAAAAAAATACCAACAGTCTCGATTAAAGACTTCTACAGTTCTTTGGTAGATGCAATGGTCTACGATTATGACAAGGAGCACAAGACAGGTGTGATCGGTCGGCATGGCGTGCTGACCCTCCCATTCCACCTGTCCCAGCTCTGGTGTTGTTTTTTTTTTTGGAGGGGGTGTGTTTGTTTTACTCTGATTTTGTATTGTTTATGGACTTATAAGCTTGAACACCGTTCGTTATCGTCATATATATCATGATTATACCATGCACGTTTGTAAGTATACAAAATATTCATATTGGAAATGTTTTTTTTTTCTTGTGACAGTTTCAGGCTGCTATGAACTCATAGAGCACCGGCAGAGGAAATCCAATTCAGGAGGAAGTGACATAAATACAGTGTGGTATAAGTTTTCTCTTTCGAAAAGTTCTTTTGAAAAGAAATAAAATATGATTAGCATATGGATATTCCTAAACTAATACTTTGACACAATGTTCAGGTTTGTTGTCGTGCCTATTGTAACCTTTGTGGTTGGCCTAATAATGACAGTGGTGACGCAAAAATTGTGCAGAAGACTACAAGGTAACTTTATTTTGTATATTTGTTGTCTTTGAAGAGTAAATAAATCTTTTTAAGAGGCTTGTCTTTACCTTTCAGTTTTATATGTTTCACTCTGAAATTTGTTCAGTGTTTGTTTGTCATCTTTATTCATGTTCTTGTCGTAAATAATGGGTTTTCTATGAATTTAAATATGTTGAGCATCTTTTCAAAAATCACTTGACAAATATCAACCAAACTTGTCACATACATGTTGCAAATCTCAAGCCCCCTCCCCCATCCGTGTTAACTTTTCATTACTGAACTGATTTTTGCTATTTTTACCCTAGCCAATCTACTTAGTTGATCGAGGTGGCCAAAAAGCCTCTTGTTACTCTAATGTTTTGCAAATCCTGTGCTTTTTTTTATTACGTCGATTATGAAACTCATTTTTTGCCAAAGATTTGAAGTAAATATCTTCTTTATGATAACATTTCATACGAAATACGTTAAAAATCTTATTTCATATAAAATTATTGAAAGATTTATTGAAAATATTTGGATGGAATTGACTGACACATCATTGCACTTTCAAAAAAAATTATTTTATTCTTTATACTTACTAATAGAAAAAGTGACAACCTTGTTGCGTACTAATGACAAATATTTAAACTAAAATCCAGAAATTCATAGTAAAAAATATTCGAAAGCAAAACATACACAGATTATATTGTCAGTACGTGCAGTTGTGATCAGCAGATATCAACAATTGAACACACCCGGTGAATCGTAAACATTTACAACAACAGAGCTTGTACCCTGTTTAAAAAAATTGTGTACGTTTCACTGGTGTGTTCAATTTGCTAAACTCTGTACACAACACTAAGGACGGATAGATGATACTTGTGAAGGGGTTTTGCCTTCGAACATTTCTATTCTGAATATAATTTTTTTTTCTGGATTAAATTTTAATATCGTTTATTAAAATCAAGATTGCCACTTTTCCTACGTATGAAGAATATAATTAAAATTTGTGAAAATGCAAGGATGTGTCAATCAAATCCATCCGAAAAATTGAAGTTTCAATAACTTTAAGATGAAAGAAGCTTTTATTTTATTTTCGTGAGAAATTTTATTATAATATACGAGAAAGTCGTGATATTATACAAAAAAATATTAACTTCAATTCTGTGTCTCTGCTCCTTAAAGTGCTAGGGCGCTCCATGAGATAAGCTTTCGTGTCAAGTCTGTGTGATGTACAAACACATGTAACTTTAATACATTTCAGATTTCAAAATAAGAAAAGGAAAAAATACTGTAATTATGCAGCAAGTGTTTAAAATATAGCAATTAAAGATTGATGATTGTTAAATGAACATCGTTCAGGTGATGTTGAAGCCCAAAATAAATGAACTGTTATACATGACGTGCCCTTTTCTCTTTCTAAAGCCTGCTCCATGTCCCTGGTTACTTCTGATCACTGTAGAGTGCCCATTTAACTCTCCTTCCACTGTTTCTCAATTTTTGTTTTAAATGTACGCCAAATAAGATTTCTCTTCGTATAAAGAGTCTATTCGGCATATGACGTTCAGTCCTTAATTGCAACCGAGCCCACTCCTAACATTTTCCGAGATCCAACTTATCTGCTTTCCTTTATAGGGCTTAAATAGATAGGAAAACTCAAAATTAATATGATGAAATTTGACTCTCAATCAACTTCCACTGAACATATCATTCAGAGACTGATGTAGAATATGAGTTGAGGCCTGCCGCCTCCTTGCACTTCTTTTCTGAATGAAATTTATTTATTCTTTAACTAAAGTTTGAAAATTTTATTGATAGCTAGACTGGTTGCCTTCCATCATCCCTTAAAAAGAAACTTTTGACCAACTCCCTCAATCCAGCTATCCCAAATAAATAAATTTCAAATTTGCCGGAACCCCTTTGCTTTTTATCCAGCATCACGGGTACCCTATCTTTTAGAAAGTCCTAAAATTTTGCAGGAAAATCAGAATGAAAATGAAAATTCCCAGGCCTTACTAAGTGGCACAAACGAGGAAACAGATATTTCTCTCACAGGATATGACGGTAAAAAGCAATAATAATATCAAATTGGAATATCTTCAATTTTGTAAGAATTCAAAATCGTATTAAACTCTAACTTCTAGTATCTCTTTAGCAAAATTATCTAATGGATCGCAGGCTTAATTTCATTTTGATGAGAGAAATGAAAATGTATTTCTATTTTTTTTTTACATACCTCAAATCAATTTGGTAACTGTCTTAAAACACAAATAATCATCAATGACATATTTTACAGCTACAGGATTTGATAAGGAGAGCTTTGATAAAGTTATCAACGACTTTCATTTAACGAGCGTTGAGGAATTATTTAAACAAAACCATATTGACTGTGTTGTTACCTTCCTTAATTTGGATAATGACAAACTGCAGAATCTTGGATTAGAAATAGGACAGCAGGAAAAATGTAAAAACGCTATTCGAAGAATACAGTGTGCTGCTTGCAACAAAATGAGACGCCAAAAGGGAGACAGTCAGACCAGCATGTCCAATAGCGAAAGATCCGAGTCCAGAGACCAATTTCCGTCAGCACAATCTGTCCCTACATCTACAGGGAAAAAGAAAAGGCCTTCTCATAAAAGAACATTATCTTATCCTACCTGAAACGTTTACACTGATTAGATAAACAAATAAAATTAAAACTGGAATATAATTATATGGTTTCTTTACATTTCGAGTATTTATTATTTTAGTAAAACAAAACACCATTTCTTATCACGAGGTTTATAAAAAAATCCCTTTTGAAAGTTTAACTTTGCCACATTATTATTTTCTAGTAGTATTTGTCTTAACATGTCAGATCTTTAAAGGAGAAGTTCTGATCTCATTAGGAAAAGTTTAATTTTGCAATAGCCAATACTGTTTATGAGAGGATACATAGATAAGCAATCAAGTGTCAATATTCACAAATATAAGTTCAGTAACTCCTATGAAAAATATTTCCAGATAGTTAATATTAAGATCAGGTGATTCGGTGCCCGAATATCCGTTTTGTATATATTTTTTAATGTTTAAAATTATTCAGAGTTTTAGGTACATTCTGATTTTTAAACCAGTTTCTAATCGTTTGAAAAATGAAACGTCAAAAAATTATTTAAGAAAAATAAGTGTTTTCCCACAAGAATTATATAAAAGGAACACTACCTTCTGATATCTTGCACAAATGTCTGGTGACGTACCTCAATGTTTAGTGGGAATCTTTTAGAAAAAATCATTAATAAAATGTTTAAAGATATTGCCATCATTAAGATATTGTGAAGTTGTCCAATCCACACAATTGTTTCTCTTTGCCCTGCAGTCTGATGTCAGTGACGTCATAGACGTACTGTTTAAATTCTCAGTACAGCAAGATCAAGTACACACAGTTGTCCGCGTGGCGCAGTGGTTAGAACGTCTGCTCTAGAGTCGCAAAGTAAGGAGTCAATCCTTACGTCGCGGGTTCGAATCCCACAGTGGGACGTGGAGACCAGTCCTTCGGATGAGACTGTATAAACCGTGGTCCCGTGTTGCAGTAGGTGCTGGCACGAAAAAGATCCCTCCCTGCTCAATTGCCCTGAGTGCCGAGCATAGAACAAAATTTGCAGCTCTTCACCGGCAAGTAGTTGCGTCTCCGTAAGAGTGAAAATTCTCGAGAGGGAACAATATACAATATACAATCAATCAATCAAGTAAACATACAGTTTTATTTCATAATAAACAGGTTACAGTCAATGTATCATGATAAATTTCTGAAGCAGATTTTTTTTAATTAATACTTTTTCATGTTAAATAGCAGAGACTCTATATCTAGATAATTTTGAATGTTTATGTTTTCGTGTGACGTCACAATTGATTTCTCGCACTCTGAAAATACAAACGTGAAGCGTTTTTATCATGCTTACGTCTAATTCAACGATGTCCTGTGCGATATTGAGGTAATCTTCACCCTATGTTATTGATGCAGTAAATAATAAAAATGAAGGACTAACATTCAATCATAAACTTTGAAATATTTATCGACAGAATTTTTTTTACAAATGACTATATACTATATGAAATTAAATACAAACTCTAATCAGGGTCGTATTTGTGCGTCAAAATCTTTTAGATAAGTCAAGAAATCCCATGACAAGACGGTTTTAAAATCTTAAGTACATATTAAATAAGTAATATAAAAAATACGAAAAAAAATTCATTGACAGGAATTTTTTCAGCGAAAGGCCCTGTTCCTCCTAAATATGCATTTCATTGAATCATTTCCCTTGACCTTGCTTTGCGTTACGATTCTGGGATTTTTATTGAGACTTATAGACTGATAAGTCGAAAACGATATATCCAAAAACAGCTGAGACAGAAGACATTGAGAAAAGGGGGCAAACTCCAAATGCGTGCCTCATATACATGTATTTGCTAATCAAAACTATTGTGACTTGATTTTTAGCCTGAAATGGTTAATACGAGGGTTGTTCGAAAATTAGTGAGACATTGTGTGTATTTTGCTTTCCAATGAACGTCTTTCTGTGAAATTTTGCTTATACGTTTGACACACACGTAGAATTAATAAAAGCAAAAAATATTTTACAAATTTTAAATATTTTCTGTACAATGGTCCATAAACGCGTCAATAGTAGTGATACCTGGAGCAGTCACGAAATCAGATTTTGAAAATATGTAACTCTTCGTGGACCCATAATAAGAGCGAAAATAATTCAGTTTATGTGTATAATTTTTCAGCTTTATATCAAATTCATGTTGTGCAACTTTGTTAGAATTTGGATCACAAATACGGAGCTCATTAAAGAATTAAGCGCGATAGAGAAATCTTTAAAGAACGAAAAAATGAATTTTGACGTCAAGGGCGGAGCAGTCAGCATACCTAAAATTGTGTGTATCGCAATATAGAACTCTTTTCCAGACTCTACGACCTGCTAAAGCAATCACAACGAGAAAAAATAATGTGTTGTTTTTTTTTTATTTCATTGATATACATTTTCTTTTTACAATTAATTCTTTCAGAGTAAAATCAAAAGCTCCGAGCAACCATCATTTATTAAGTACGATATCAATATCGTTACGGTATTTATTTCATTGATCCGCGTTAAATAAATCGGCACTGCGTGATTCTAAGTCGTCCTTTCTCACAAATGAAAATTTAACACTGGGGTAGCAACGCCATACATTTTAAAAGAATAGCTTGAGAAAAGAGACTGTTAGATTTTTGTAAAGTTATATGTAATAACAAAGAAGGAAAAGTATCAAACGCTTTGCGATCGTTTTACATGCGAAACCATCTCCTGCTGACGTGACGTTAAATGACGTAGCGATGCTGCTCCGGGTCGATAGACATATGCATGTTTATCATTTCACCGAATTTTTTTTTATTATCATAGAAATTAGAAATTTTTCATAATTATTGAATTCGTTCTTTATAAAATTTAGATGAATTTTCATCAAATTATCTCCGTCCTTTATGGAGTAAATGTAATTGTCTCAATAATTTCCGAACAGCCCTCGCACATGAAACATACCGACATTCATGTCTTTAATGTCTCACACATACTAGTAATAGCAATTGCTTAAGCTACTTTATCTGTTTTTTTTTATTTAAACGGACTGTCGCTGTATAGGAAAGTGCCTTTATTGCTCTTTGAAGCACGTTTTTCAAATTGTTCAATATACGTTTTACAAAGTTGTATTATGAGTAGTACTGTATTGTAAATTATGTATACGAAACACAAAATTTTAATTTTGATTTGTAGGGGGCATCTCAAAATGTCAAAATCAGTTTATTTTTTTTTTGTTTATATGGAGTACTACAAAATATTACAGATACAATAACTTTACATAAATATATATAAATAATTGAGAGAATCTGATATTTTAATGTTTTTATTTTCAGGGACTTATCTTATCTTGACTTCTTTTGTGACGTTTTTGTAACCTATTCTGTAAGTTGTTTATTTTATCATGAGGTAAAATTCACACACTTTTAATCGACCACAAAGTTAAAAAAAACCGTTCTAAGAATTTTATACATAATTTTATTTTATTAATGCTATTAACCTGTAATTCATTCTTTTTATCTTTTAATAATTATGTAAAAATTGCTTTAAAACAGAAAATATTTTTCATTTTACTGTGATGCGCGAAGCATTGCGCAATGATAACCCCCTGTCGCCCACCTTATTTGTCTTTTCTCCTATGGGAGAATGTCCGATGGGATATTTTCTCCTAAGTTTTTTTCCCATGAATGTATTCAAATGGAATACATCTCATGGATATTTACGATGAATTATTCTCTCCAATACATTGTTATAGTTGGTATAGTTTCTAAAACTGTATAAAATTGACAAAATTGTCATTGTCATATTGTGTGGCATATATTTCATGTTTCAAAATGTATGGGAGAAATTGTTTGAATGTAAATATTCGCGGTATTTATTCCTTTTGAACAAATTTGTTGGTGAACATATCCCATTTTACATTTTTTTTCTTACATGGGACAATGGTGGGACGGTTTGAAAATTGAAAATCCCACCATTCTCCCATCGGATTATTAATTTTAGGACTTCATTACATTTGTATCAAGAGAATATGTTTGTGAATTCAACATAAGACTCTGGGATACTGCTAAGAAATCCCAAATTTTATCAAAATATTTTTGATATTGCAATGCGAAATGGTAATAAAAAGTCTTAACTATGTCGTGTCCGGGGTTAAATGTCGTAATGTTATAAGCTATCTTCCCAAGTCAAGATTTTCTGTTCCAATCCCCTCCACATAAACATGCTTAAATCAAGTATTGCTGTTTAATTAAAATGATATCAGGTTATGTAATATGTCGCTCCGGATCCGTTTAAATGATTTCGGTTTCTACAATTTGAAAAGGCAAAAAACCATGACACTGGAGGTTGTCACGGAGCAGCGAGTACGATAAGATTGTGCTTTACATTCGGGAAACTTTTTTTGCAAACATTATATATATACCACGATCTGTATGTAAATAAACCGTGTGTTTGTATAAAACAGAAGATACAATTATTGAATGGTAGCGAGTTTTAATTGGACGATGGATTGTCTGCAAAGAAACAGACTATAGTTTAAATTCTTTTCAATAGAGTTAGGAGCATCATTTATCGTGAAGTGCGCTTCATTGTTGCAGAATAAATTGAGTGAAGTGGTTATAAAAAGAATTTGAAAACACTGACAAACTAAATCAAGCATTTGCACAATTGTTAGCAAACTAGGTGTTAAGTGCTGTGGAGATGTTTTCTTATGTAAATGAAGAAGGCGCTACAAACCGTGTATGAAATTAAAAAGCCGGGTAATTTTAAGAAAAAACTTTCTCAACGTTGTTTTTGTCATTACAATGAAGGTTAACCGTGCCTCGTGATAACAAAACATGTTGGTTTTAAAATTTTGCTAACATGAGTTCTATTTAATCAAATGGAACGAAACTTCATACTCCGACAAAATGAATATTGTTTTACTAAAATATGTCTTATAATTGTGTAATAATAATATAACGATGAGGAACACTGTTTATATTTTTTGTATGACCTTTGTAACATACATTAGCACATAATTATCAAGGAGTGCAAACGCAACAAACATCCAGCTGCAATATAAATCAAATAAAATTCTGCATATTAATGTTTCCTTTCCTTTAAAAACAGAACAAGCGATCAATTAAAATGTTTCGATACTTAGGAAACGGAAGT